CTTTTATGATCAAACAAAAAGTGTTGCAGGAGATTAGAATTTCATAAGATGTAAAAGTATATTTTTTAACTGCATATATATTGATATTAATGCAAAAATAAATTATTTATATTCTACAGGTATCTTAGATTTATTATTCATTTTAGATTTTTTTTCAAAATTTCTCAATTTTTCAAGGATAACAAAAGAGAGTGCATTCAGTCGCAAAATACATATTAAAAAAAGTTACAGTAAGAAAAATTTGCATATCAATCTTTCAAACGTATACTGTACCCTGAAACAAAAAAAAAATAGTTCTTTCGATTTCTGCATTACATTTCGTTGATAAAGTCTTAATCCATTATGAAGTTTTCAGTTAAAGTTTTATAAGTTATTAAACTTTTTCATTCTGTTTTACAATAAGCGAAGAAAAGAATAAATTTTCCCAATGTCGCTTCCCTCTTCTCAGAAATAAATTTCATAATTCAATAGGACTATTTTAAATTCAGTTTTGCATTATTCAATTCAGTTTTTCAAAGAAGTGGTTTTCCATGAATGCCCTCGAAGACATTTTTTCTTGAATAAAATTTAAGAGCTTCGTCTTTTAATTAGAGAAAACCCAATTCCTGATAATGTTCCTTTTGTTAAAAAATTTACTTAGCAAGGCATGATTTATCGAAAATACAAAGCTTTTACTCATAACTTTCAAAGAAGGTAAATTGGATTATTATTTTAATATTCCTTTCCGAAGTATTTATCGATATATTTAATAATCGATTTTTTAATGCAAAAAACTTTTTTTCATTTGAAAGCAACGAGTTAAAATAATTAAAAAACTTCATAAGCATTGAATTCGTTTGCTTTATTTGTATTTAGTAATGGTCATTAGAATGTCGAATATAGAGTCATTGAATATGAAAAATTAATTATAAAACTACAATATTCTTAAATGTTGATAATAGTGACAATATTCTTATCATAGTGATTGAGAATTTACAATATTTTTATTTCTGTATAAATAACTAATTTATTGCTTTTTGTCAACTACATTTTATTTTTATCTCTTCTTATCGAAATATTTTGACATAACTCTTACAATTTTTTGAGGTAGTTATTGCAGTACAATTTTCATATAATTACAAAAGCAGGTTTAACATAATGAAAGGGATATTTTTGTTGACTAAAAGCTTATAGAATGAGAATTTACATATAAGTTGTGTTGCTAAATTCTTTTTTTTTCTCATACAGAATAACTGCTTATATTTAAAATGAATTTCTTAATCTGATGTCTCAGTCAAACGAAATTATGCATTTTAACTTGACGGCCACAATTTCATTCAACAAATAATAATAATCTTTTGACTTCATTTACGATGTGATAATTTTACTTTAGTACAGAATAACAAGTCTTATAAGGTAATGCTTATTGTGAAATATACTTTCAGTATGGTTTCTTAAATAGAAGGTTAGTATTTCAATACATTGCCTTCCAGAAAGAAATATACTTGGTTGGTGTCTTGTCATGGGTAATAATTAAATAGGACCAAAGGTCCTACACACAACATTGGCAATCTGGGTGCAATTAACTTCGTGTAAGTCCTCCGGGGGACTGTTTCTAATGTGTTGCAATTTTGCCAAAATGGCAGGACAGGAGAAAAGATGTTCTGGGTTCAGTTCGGTGTCGTGACAATGTTTGCAGAGAGAGTACTTTCTCGTTCCATTTTTTCTGAATCTACATGCCTCTAAAGTGTCCTGTTCTAAGCCTTATTAATATGCTTGCCAGGTTTTAGCAAGTATTAACTTCAGGAATTTTATGCGTTTCAGGTCAATTTTTCTATCGAAAAGTCTTGATTTTGTTACTGAATTTATCTCGCTTACGGTGACGAGCGTTGTAGAGTTGGCGTTACTGATAAGTTGTCTTGTTTCCATAGTCAGGGTGCACGATGCCCCGTTTTTTCAAACTGAGAAGCTAACGAAGTGTATAATGTATGTTAGTAATTAGACTTGAGTAGCCATTATGAATTACTTGGAGAGCAGCTTTACAATCACTGAAGATTATAAGCCCTTCAGTTCTTTCTTATTAACTGAGGTTTATGTACTCATTTAGGATTGTTTGTATTGCAAGGAGTGTGCAAGTGTAGTTTGAAGCTATTTTTCCTGCTCCGACCTTCAAGTGGTTTGTAAGAAATATACTTTTCGCGTCTATTTAAAACAAACAATGAACTGAGCCAAATATTACATTTTATATTTTACTTCTTCCACTGCTAAAGAAACACATTTCTTTCCTTAAAAAGCTTTCGATTACTCGTCTGCTTTATTTTGCTTAGAAAAAATTATGACTAATTATTAATCCAATTGTATTGTTGAAGTATACAAAAATTTAAACATTATAAAATATAATACAAAAGTAAACATTGTAAACATTTAGCGAGATTTACAAAACGACTTTCAAGATTATAATGTAAGAGTTTAAGAAATACCTATAAGCAATACATTTTTCCAAAGTTTATAAAATTCTAAGTTATAAACAAGGTTTTAGTATTAAATTGCACAAATTATTCATTTCTGTAATTTAATTTTTGAGAGAAATTTATACTATTAACATTATAAGTGCTTAAAAATTTTTTTTTTCACACAGAAGGTTTCATTTTCTTTCATTCCAGCAAATTCGAGATGCTGACGAGAGGCGCAAAAAGTTGGAGCAACAGAAATTGGCGGCGGCAACAGAACTTCAAGCCAAACAAGAAGAAATCAAAACAATATCCAATGAAGCAGAAAGGCAGAAAGCGATGGAAAACATCCAGAATTTAGAAGTAAGTACAAGTTTTTTATTATTTCGTAAGAAAGTTTGACTAGTATTAATTAAAAAGTGATAAAATCTCAAATCTTTGCTAGATTTTGAGGTGCAAAAATTAAAACATCCAAAAAATTGAAAGATCTTAAAATACTAGCTTTTTTTACTGATAAATTGATCCTCAGGAGGAATACTTACGTTTTAAAGGGATTGCTAAAGTAAAAAAAAAATTAATATTATAAAATGTTTGTTATTTAACTTTGAGTTAGTTCGATATTTTTGCATATAATAGCACCGTACCACATTCATTCTTAAAATTTAGTTATCTTAATTAATGCTAAAAAAGTATTTCATTCAAATAGGTGGTATTTTTTACCGACAATTTTTTTAATTCTTTGCATTCTTGTGGAATTTCACTTTTTGCAGGAAATAGCGTACAATTTTTTAACATATTATTAAAATTCCCATTATTTTAAGGGGACACAGTACGATTCAATTGACAAAAATTGGTCAAAATCAAATTAAATTTTTTTTAGCTTAAATTATTTTTTATATGCTGACAAAATTTTATATGCTGACAAATTTTTATACCTGACAAAATTTGAAAGCTCTAAACTAAAAAAACACAGAATTATGATAGCTTTTGCATTCGTTTTTATCCACATCTCTATGGCAAATCAAAACTTTAAACTTACTTATCTCGGAAAGATAAAATATCCTGTTTGTCTTCATTTAAAATGCTAAAGCTTTTTTTCTATTGTGTCAAATGCTTTGAATTTTTTTTTACCTATTGCTAATAGAACATGTAACAAAAGTTGTGTGCATTTTTGAATCAAAGAAGTATTCATAAAAAGAAGTATTGTACAAATGCCAATCATGTTATCGCAAAACCCATACCACCTTTTGTTATGCATAGTATGAGGTACTTGTAAATCAAATTTCCTGCGTGTACGCAAATTTTTGTAGGAGGAGTAGCATTTTAAAATCACTTCACAAATTTGAAGTTTTTTCCTTAAAAAATTAAATGCCTAGGTTTTTATGAAATTTTGAGCGCACAAAACCTGTTTTACATAGTATACACATATAGGAGGAAACCAAAAAATTTTGAAAATCCTTAAATTTAAATTTTTTGCTTAAATCGTACTATGTCCCCTTAAACTATCCCAACATAGAGTGAAATTAATTTTCCATTTATATCAAAAACTAAAGATGCTACACCATAGAGATTATAATAGAGCGAAACAGATTGGAAAAGTAAGAAATGACCAAGTTAAAATTACTATGTATCTAAAACTAGATGTTACAGAGAGAACTGATCGTTTAAATAATTATGCTTCACAGAGAATTTTTTTTTCAATTCATGTTTCCAGTCAAATCGTTGATGACTTTCTCTGTTTGTCTTTCAAAACGAGTTATTCTTGTATCTTACAATGTTCAAAAAATCGACCAATACTAATGAACGAGAAAAATTCTCTAATAATAAACAAATATATTGGCGTGACACTGCTGAATGCAACATGATTCTGTAAATTTGAAACGTAAAAGATGATTACTGGTCCGACTAGTACTACCCCAGTCACGCGATTTAACAATACAATAAAATCTTCCTGGAAAACTGAGAAAATTCGGTGGGCGTTTATATCTCAGAATGAATCGTCATTTGACTTTTAACTACCAAAGACCAATGTTGTCCAAGTAACATTTTTCAAACAAAACAAAAAATGGCGCTTAACTGATTGATCCAAACGATTCCATTATTTGATGATTTATACTAACGCAAAATGTACTTCTAATGATCTCTATATGATGATGTAGTATTTTAAAAAAGGGGATGTAATCAAATATTTTCGGTTAAAATTAATAACAAAAAGCTAGACAAAATGTTATAAAGCGGAGTATTTTTAATGGAAAACTTCAAGCACTGCATTTTGATGAGCAAATCATAAACAAAGTATAAAAAAATTTTAAATCAATTCCTACTTAGGTCAACAAAGAATAATTTATTTTTTAGCTACTTTTTATTAAATAGGTACAATTAATATAAATATATATATACATATGACAGAATCACAATACTAAGTGATAAAATAGAAAGAGATTTTCCTCTTTCCTTTCTATATATGGTGTTGGACTATTTTTTTGTTTGTTACTATTTATTCATTAATTAAATTTTTTCTAATGAAATATAGTATAGTAAAAAGAAAAGTCACATTCTCGGAAATTAGGCCACCCCAGGTGGGATTCGAACCCACAACCTTCTTTGGATCAAAAGTCCAACGCGTTTCCCTTTACGCAACAGGGACATAGCAAACGATTTTCCTTTCTATGTATGTTTTTGGATTATTATTTTTGTTTCTATTTAATCGTTTTTTAATTTAACTAATGAATTAATATTTGAAAAAACTGTATTAACAACAAGTATCATCCACAATAAATTTAAAAAATATATTTGAACTTGAATGGATGAATAGAAAGCATTTTATTAACGATTGAAAATTTGTACAAGGTTTATATTTATACAGGGTCGTCCCGAATTCATGGTACACACTTTAAGGGTAGGTGCAGGACATTGTAACAATCATTTATTGCTTAAAAATGTATAGGCGCAAGTGACGCGGCTAGACAAAAACACAAAAAATGAGACGAAAGGAAAGACAAAGTGTTTATTGAAAGCGTCGCTGACAAGTGTAATGTTTACAATGACTGTCCCTAACTGTTCAGCACGTTGGCTATGGAATCCAGCTGCAGCGTACATTGCTGTACCATCCACTGGCAGTCGGAGAAGATAGTCTGCCTGGTTCGAAACTTGTTCTTGCTGAAAATGGAACAGGTGTAAACGATTTTCCTTTAACACCCTACAAACAGTCTGATGACTCACACTTACGTGATGAGCAACAGCTCTTGTACTTGACTCTGGTATGTCAGCCACAACATTCAAGATGCTTTCTTTCAGGCTTGGACGGAGTACCGGTCTTCATCGTTCAGGATCATGTCTGGTGATGTGAAACGAACAGGTGTCACCAAGTTGACGATGAAACCCCGCTGAAAAATTCTCTGATCAGGCATTCGTCGATCAGAAAACTGCGCGTGATGCATTAGTAGCACAGCTCTGTCATTACCATTTGCAAAGCCGTACATGTAATGCATGTCATGTAATGTTCCGTACATGTAATGGAAATCTGCATTTTCAACATACATAAAGTCTCCCATCGTAGACGTCAGCACAATTGTGAATGGCCCTTTCTCCTACTGAGATGCATAATGTCGAAGGGCGGCAAGAAATCTACCGCCCCCTACCGGCAACGCAACCAAACAATAACTTCATTTCTTTTTTCTTCTATTTCCCATGTTTGTGCCGCAAGGCTTCACTTGCGCCCATACATTTCTATGCAATAAATGATAGTTACAATGTCCTATACCTCCCCTTAAAGTTTGTACCATGAATTCAGGACTTCCCTATATACGTATGTATATATATATATATATATATATATATAGGGAGAGAGTGAATTAATAGTAAGAATTGAAAAAGAACACTCGTATTAGATTCATTAGATTATGTAGTATAAAATTCGTGAGTGAACTGCATTACATGAAACGAAAACTCTTAATTTTTATATATCACATGATCAAAAATTATCCGTTTGAGAGGAATAAGAAAACAGAGTATGGTATTAAATGTTGACAAAAGAATTCATCACGAAAGCTGATCATGCATCCCCGTTCGAGCTTTTTTATCGCTCATATGGCACTCAGCGTTTTAGGTAAGACATATTGACTTCTTATCAATCATTTCCAGCTGCCAAACGACGTATTTCAACGCACCATTAAAGTGCTTTCACACACAGCTTACTTGGCAGTTTAGCGGACATTTATTGACTACACATAAGTAATCGTTTTGTTATTCTAATCATTTACATATTCTACTCAATTTTGCATTTCCTGTAAGTTTCGTTTAGTTTACATGATTTCTTCATTGTATTACAATTTTAACAGGTAGTAATACACGAAAGGTTTTTAGTACATAATGTTAAAAAATATAATGTTTGAGTTCAGATAGAATTATTGTTATCAAATTATATTACATTACTCAGAAATTTTTGGTCATAATTTGAAAGAAAAATATAAACTGAAAATTATAAATTGGTATAGTTCACAAAATCTTGTTCATGTGTCCTTAAGTAGTAGTGAATACATTTTTTGTTATTTAAAGCTAATAAAGAAGCAGTCATAAGCTAAAGTTTCATTTTTGGAAAAAATCTTGCTTTTTTAATTTATCATTATTTTATAAATGAAGGTGGAACAAATGTAAACGAAACTCTTTTGATACTGACAGGTTTTCTTATAAATTTTGTCTTATAGCACCTCTTTTAAATCATTAAAAAATCTAAATAATATATGATATTCTTCATATAGTAGCTAGAATAGTTAGGCAACACAAAATACCTACTACGAAATTTTTCACGAATAAAGACACTACATTCATTGAAATTTAGTTCAGATTGAATGCCTATTTCTGTAAATATTTTATCGAGTTCTCAAATATAAAAATGTGTAAGGTGTTTAAGATATCCGACTGGTTGCGACAACTTTTTTTTAAAAAAAAAGGAGATAAGGGGATTTTTTTTGTTATTTTTAGATTTCTCTTAGTGCATTTTAAGAAAAATGTGCTAAAATTAAGAGGAGAAAAAGAAATTATTATTACTAAAATGGGAAAAAGTAGGTAAAAATTGACAAAAAATAGCATAAACGCGGCCCATTCTGCACCAAAGGTTTACGAACAAATTTTCAGTTTTTCCAATCTAATGTGTTGCTATATTGTTCAATTTTGAAATGACCTTTAGGGTAAGAGATATTTTCTTTTTTACAAAAACTAGAGCACTTTATCTCGGTTACTATATGAAAATGCTTAAAAAGACAGTGATTATATTAACATAAAGGACTGTAAATTTTGTAATAAAACAGTGATTGATAAATCTGAAGGTTAAAACAATTCTACTATTATACAGAACTTACAGAAAAAATTTCAGTTAACTATGTTCAAATTTTTTTAGCAATCTCTGACCCCGTTTGATTATTTTCAAAAAATCACATTTCGAGTAAAACGCGTTTTATAGTACATCTTGCTTAAAGTAATGGCATCTGCTTTTACTTAAACACTTGTAGTTTTTGTTCTAGTAAACGGAAAATAATAAACTTGGTATTTTTATAAAGCTAATAAGATGGACCATAAAATAAAATCATAAAAAAAATTTGTCAATTTTTGGCAAAATTCACAGTTTTAGAGTAGTCGGATACCTTAAGAATAATAGCTAAGAAATTGAAAATTTGTCGTGTAATCATTGATCAGGAACAAGTCCATTTGGAGCAAAAATTCAACAACACTCTCTTCACCAACTTTGAATAATAGTTAATGAAATTAATTATGCAAAATGGACATTAGTTGCTGCAGTGTTCAATTCACTGTTTTGAAGAAGTTGCGATTTCTAAAACTCACAGCAAGATGAGAGTCTCGAATTTAAAAAGCAAACCAAAGATGGAAAGAACATCCATTCGCTTTAGACATTTAAATCTCTAGGAAGCAGAAGGATATGCATTTTTGACTCGACTTTTAACTTGTGATGAAAATTAGGAGTATCTTTATACACCCCTGAAACTAAGCAGTCCGGTGTGGAAGGATGTACAAAAATAAACTGCTTTACTAAAAGCAAGTCTAAGTTGATTGCTGGAAAAATTATCGCTACAAATTTTGGAGATTTACACGGTCTCAACTTTCTTTATGACTGATGTACAATTTTGCAATATGCTACTGTGAACCTTGGAGAAGGTTAATAAAACACCCAAAAGATGCTCAAATTAAAATTCGCAATGCTTTTCTACTCCAGGACGATGTAAGACCCCGTACAGCTGGTGTAACACAAGAAATTTTTTTAAGAAAATTCTTTGGTCAACTCTAAACATCTTTCTTATTGTCCAGATTATGCAATTATCATTTGCTTGACCCTCTCAAAGAAGCATTAGGAGGAGAGAAATATCCATTGAATAGAGAAGAAGAAAAAATTTTTGTCCTCACACAAATGGCTTCATACATGTCCGATTTTTTTGTATAGTAGGGGAATCTACCAAAAAACTTTCAATACTTTGAGGAAAAAGCACATATCCGAAGTGAAGATGTATAGAACAATAGCATTTGTATAGTTTTGGTTACTAAAATACGGTCAGAAAAGATTTTTTAAGAACAAAACTTATATTTTATCCTCCCTCCCGTTATCGTTCATCAGAAAGTCTATCGTCGAAGCAGAATGACTAATTTAGATAGAGGTAAAGATTAAATAAAAACAATCGAAAAAGTATTTATAAGATATTATTCGGTATGCCAATGTTTTAAAAATATTTAACAGATATAAAAGTAAAGTTTTAGATAAATAAAAAACTTTGTCAGCGAAAACGTTGATAAAAATTCTTTATCTTAACTAATTGTAAAATAGAGCATGAATTTCCCAGGATTATTAGCATTGCAAAGGTCAGATAAGAGTAAATTAATTTTTAAAAAAAGAAGCGATATAAAAAGATTTAACTGAAATAAAAAGTGCAAAAATTTTTTTTAAAGACTTTAAAAAAAATATCTGTACAAGTTTTTACGTTTGAAATAAAGCATTTCTTAAGTAATAATAACAACAATAGTCTTTTTTATGAAACATATTTTGAATTTGTTGCCTGTTTCATTCCCTAGAAATTTGTTGTGAAAACAAATTAATCAACAAGGTATTCAAAATAATGCATAGTTTCTCCACATACAACGAAAATTGCACGAAAAATTATTCAATAGTTTACTAAATCTGTTATTTAATATTGGCTTTACAGAATTTTGATGATTTCTTGTCACTTCAATTTCTCCAAGTATACGTAAAAGAAAATTCAAGTAAATGTAAGAGGATTAATGAAGTAATTTATAAATACACAATCGGACCTTTATTATGCTAATTTCTCTATTTTGCAAACTTTTTCTTGGCACCAAAAACAATTTATTATTTTCTTCGTAAAATAACCTCTAAATAGCGAAATGCATTTTCTATTTAACGAACTTTTTCTCTTATGATTCGATTTTTCCCTTCCTATTTTTAAAGTATTTCTGAACCTTTTAAGTTATTCTCTCTTTTAACACATTTTATGACCAATGACATTGATAATGGATTCTAACTCACCAAAGCAATAAAATTGCCCCAACTTTTCAAACAAAACTAACTGATTTTATCAGTAATTAAATTTAAGGATGCATGTGATAATGCATGATTAAAATTAC